TACTTTCTGAAGTGAAGAGGGGAGCATTACCCACTTAAAACATGTTACCAAGAGGACCAGTCACAGAAATGCCACAGCCAATGCACTGCCCTGGGGGAAACATCAGGCTCTTTGGCCAACTGGCCGGGCTATTTCTGGACTCTCATGGGCTCTGGGATGAATGATGTGATTCTCCCTGTAGCCTAGATTAAGGCACAGGCCAATCTCTGGAGTTAGGAGTGAAGGGAAACGAGAGGTGGCGTCTCTACTTCCTGCCGTGCCTGTGGCTGCTTTGTTTCCTGTTAGCCTCTTCCCAGCTGAGAAAAACAGGGGCTGGGAAGAGGAGGTTTTGGAAGAAAAGTTAAGACTGGAAAATACTCCTGGCCTTCTTGATGAGGTTTCGGGCTCACATGTAACGTGTGAAATGAGTTGGCCAGGAGTCAGAGCTCCCAGAAAGTGCTGTGTTGGTCCTTTTGGGGTTTTGCACACCAACCCTGCTGGCTACAGCAACAGAGCATGGAAGTTCTTGGCAAGGCTGTGGAACCAGCTGGAAAACTTTGGGGGCTGGGACACAGAAGGCTGGGCAGGCCTAGGCCTTAACTCTTCTCCACCCCACTTCCCCTGGGGGTGGGGGATCCTGTATGGGTGGCCTCAGCTAAATATCTATGTGCAACAAGAGAATGGGTGGAGACAAAGAGCCTTCCAGTGGATAAAAGTGGCCCAGGGGCCACGTGAGGGTAAAACCCAGCTGTACACCTTTGGTGAGGCTTGGCATGGAACCACCCTCTGGGGAGCAGTCCAAGGGAGACAGTATTAGGGTAGCCAGGCAGAGCAGCAGGCAGCCCTGCCTCCCGGCTTGAGAGGTGAGCATCCCACCGCATCCTCCAACCCAGTCTCATGAGCCCTCTGAGACTCAACCTCCCTCCAAATAGGGTAAATAGGCCCTACCTGGAGGATTGTTGAGGATTAGAATAAACATATATATCAACAGTTTGTGGGGGGGAGAGGGGTAAGAGCTGACCCACATAACTTTGGAAAATGGTGTTTTGTCTAGAAATTATAAGTGTAAAGACAAAACCTACTATGTAAACATCGGATGTTGGTAAATGCACAGTGGTAAAGCATTTTCTGAAATTTCTGTGCATGAATTGTGGACTCGAACAAATAAGTAAATGGATGATGGGTGGTGGGGGCCATCCTTTCCAGCTGTCCTGGGGGAAGCACAGTGCTCAGCTGGGCCAGGGTGGTGAGGGCACTGCAGTGTAGACACACTAGAACATGTTTAAACACTTCAGGGTAAATCAAAGTCTGTTGAATTACTGTGGCTACATAACAAACAGCCCCAAAAACTAGTGTGTTAAAAAAAAAAAAAAAGCTTTTACTATGCTCTTAGCTTCTGTGTGTCAAAATTCAGACATGACAGATGGCTAAATTCAGAGGGGATGGCTGGTCTCTGTTCTAAGATGTCTGAGGCCCCTTTGAAAGACTCAGAGGCTCAAAGGCTGGAAGGTGGAATCATTTGAAGGCTTCTCTCTCACTTGTCTGCTGATTGGTTGGGGCCTTTGCTGGGGATGTGGGCTGGAACATCTCTATGTGGCCCTGCAAAGTGACCTGGGCCCCCATGCAACGTGGAGGCTGAGTCCAGAGGAGAGAGGAGAAAAGAGAGAGGTGAAGAGAGGGCAGAAGGGAGGTAAGGAGAGAGTAAACCAGGAGGAAGTCTTCTTGGTTAAGGTAGTTACAAAGTCACTCTGGTTCAGGGAGAGGGACTCCGTTTCCAAGGAAGTAGTGTCAACTTCATGTGGTAAGGGGAGTCCATGGGAGGGAGATACACTGGTAGGGCCATCTTCAGAACTATAATTTCCCACATCCCCCACTATAGCTTTCTCCCCTTCCCTGAGGTCACCACTGTTGCCAGTTGGGTGTGAGTGTCTTCAGATCTCCTCTGTACCTTTACATCCATACACACTATAGAACTTGATTTTGGGGCATTTGGTGGAGGGAGCTAACACATGGACTTCCTGTGTAAGTAGCAATCACTTATATCATGCTTTTATCATTTGGGGAAGGGTTAGCAGGCTTAATTTTTACATAAGCAGAATTCCTTGCATCTAGCTTTTTTATTTAACATGAATTCATTTGTTAGTACATGGAGATCTCTTCTTTTTATTGACATAAAATATTCTGCAGTTTGGTTATAATTTTATGTAAACATTTCTTTGATAGAGCTTTGAAATGTTTCTTTTTTCCCTATTATAAACAAAACCACAATAAGTATTTCTTTTTCTGCTGTTTTATGAACATAACACAAAAGTTAAATGTTTCCCAGAAAGCAGTCAGTAAGTTAATTGCTTATTGAAAGAGCTCAGCCACTTCTAATTCAATGGGTGCTACCAAATTTCCTTTGAGAAAGACCAATTACACTGGTAGCAAGAGTACAAAATGTTATTTCCTCACATCCTCACCAGCACTTTGTACTGACAATCTTTTTAACTCTCACTTGCCTTATGGGTAGAAACAGGCATACTGTTTGCCATGTGTTTTTAATCTGTAGCTTCCTTACTACATTCAGTTGAATGTTTTATATATTTATCAGCCATCTGCATTTCTTCTCCTGGGAACTGACTTTTTATTTCCTTTACTGAACTGCTCATTTCAGTTTCATGATAAAACAAAAAACACAAATTGAAACCCTGAGATATATTTAAAGCAATGAAGTTAAAAAGAGATGACAAAGATTCTCAGTGCTCTTGAAGGCTGATGTCATTTGAGTTTAGAAAAGAGACCCTATAATTACAAATGTTGACTTATACTTTCTAAACATTTTAAATCAAAATATAGCCCTAAATAGATGAAAATATTCTTAGTTGTTTCAAATGAGGTAAGATCAATTTTTATTTTAAAAAATAGTGAAAAAACTTTTTACCATTATTTTACTGATTGAATCTTCTTTTCCTATAGATTTCTGTATTTACTTTAATCTTTAAAAATTTAATATGCCATGTGCTCTTTTTCTGGGTTACTTTATCTTCTGTTGATTTACTTAATTTTTGGTGTCGGAACCCTCTTATTTTCATAAGAGGGTTTATGATTTACTTGGTAAGAAGTGAATTTGGATTTACTTGGTAAGAAGAAGACATTTACAGTATTTTATCTTCCCTCCAGGGAATATCATCTCTGTGTTAGCACAAGTGTGACTTTTTACCACTCTGTAAAACTCTGTGCTATCTTTCTTCATGCAGTGCCTCTCATTTGGGGGAGAGGGCTTATTCCTAGTAGCTGTCTGTGTGGGTGGTTAGACTTTGAAATAAAAGTTAAAACTCAGTGGAAGTTGGAAGGAAAGAGTGAGAAGTGTGTTCAAACTCCAGGATGTCCTGGAGCAGGGCTGCAGAGAACCTAGGTGCAGAGAACAGGCGGCTTAGCTGAGCAGGTGTGCCTGATCCGTCTGTTTAAATGTCACCAACAACTCCAAAGTGCTCATCACTTATTTGTTCATTAGTTTAACAATTATTTCTAGAGTAGTATTACTTGCTAATGTGTTAAACTATTTTAGCAGCTAGGGATAGAGCAGAGCAGAATTGATGATGTCTCCTCTTAGGGAGCTTGTATTTACAGTGGGGGAGATGAATGGACATAAACCCATTATACATGCACACATATATTACAACTTCTGAGGGCGATAAATGCTACATGTGCAGGGTCGGGTGACAGGGATATAGGCCTGAACCGTGCTATTTTTGTTAGTGTGTCAAAGCAGGCTTCTGATAAGTTGCTGCTTCAGTCAAAATTGGAGAACGAGGGTGAGCCACATGGGAACCTAGGAGACAGGACTCCCAGCAGAAGGAAGAACACGTGCAAAGATCCTAAGGCAGAGTGTCCTTGGGATGTTTGAGTCTTAGGAATTGAGAAAGGGTGAGTGTAGATGGAGAGACATGAGAGAAACCTTCGGGGACCCAGGCCACTGAGGGCAAGGAGATGAAAGTGAGGATGATGCCTAGAGAAAATTAAATGGCCAGCTATACCCAGGACCCCAGGAAACACTTGCCAGAACTGATGAAGTTCAGAGGGGAGAAGGCAGCCCCCCCACCCCAACCTACAGGCAGGCCGATAAAGCCCAAGGAGAGCGAGGGGGACAGACCCAGAAGGGCACAATTCTTTGGAACTGGTCAGTTTCTAGACAATAAGGCAATTCCCCTGAACACGACAAGCAATACCTTGAAAAAACCCAAATGCTTTACCCCTCCCATGGGAAGGGCAGAGCTGCTTGATACCATGGCAACTCAGGCCTAGTGTTCTCCCACACCCCAACCTGATGCCAGGACTGATAAAACTGCACCCCAGGAACATGTGAAAAGAGCAGAGACTTAGAAACTGCTGCTTGGACTGATAAACTACACCCCAGGAGTGCTTGCCCAGTACAACCCAGGAAGGGATGTAGTGAAACAGTTCCTGCACCCACTTAGCCCAGAGTCCCCACAATTCCCTGCAGTTGTTCTTACCAAGGTCTCTGCCCACCTAGGGACCTCTCCCTTGGCATCCTTTTATTCTGTCTCTAAATAACTTTGCCTTTGCTTCTGCTAACAATGTGGCTGTGAATTCTTTTCACACCATAGTCAAGAACCAAAGAACCCCAAAATCCAGGAACCTCCCCCAAAACTGACAATGAAATAGGTCCATTTTGATGTTGAGTGATAACAGTCTATATGTGAGTATTTGTGTGGTTAAGCGAAGCCGGTGTGAATTTGCATGAATATGTGAGTTAAGTGACCATATTTGTTCAAATTTGTGGGTGTGTGTGAATGTGTATGTATATGTATATGTCTGTGTATTTAAATATGTTTAAGTGCATGTGTATCTGAGTAGTTTTGTGTCTGTGTATGTGTTTATATGTGTATAGGTATCTATGTAGATGTGTTTAGGAGTTTGTGTCCTTTGGTGTGTATAAATGTTTATGACTGTGTATCTGTGTTTTGTATGTATCCCTGATAATACACAGGCAGGAATGTCCCGAGGGACACGTGCTTCGAGAGGGAAACCTCTCCTGTCATCCTGGCTGGATCTTTGCGCTTGCCGTAGGTCACAGAACAGACCAATGTCATTGATGAGGTCACAGAATGAAGCTATGTTCCTAGTGACCAAGGAGAGCCTAGCAACCACTTGAACTGGGGGCCAGTGGAGGGTTTCAGCACAGCCCAAGCCAACTCTCACCAAACAGCTGAAGCACTGAGTCCCCGTGGGCACAGGTATCAAACCATGAAACGCCACTTCATGCACCATAGTGAAAAGCAGTCATCAACAGAAGGAACCACCCTCAGTTTAGCCAGCCCTGAGTCCACAGAGGACAGCCTGGAAGTGAGCTGGCCAGGTATGTCAAAAGAAAGTGTGGAGGGTTAGGTTGGGTGGATTCCCCGGGAAGGAGGGAAGGAGGTCCTGGAGGGGTGGGTGTGGCATGACCTAAATGCTGTGTTGGCCATAAAAATGAGTAGTGGGTATGAGCGAGGCTGTTGTTCTGAGTGTACAGGAGATGACTTCAGGAGGCATGAGCATGAAAATGTTAATAATCTTGTACACTGGAAAGAACAGAAGTGACATATCAACCCTGTGATTTCGGCAGTGATATATATACATAATACTTTATAATTGACTAAAGTTGATCTAGAATATTTGTACACCACTATAAAAGACGGTAACCAGCAGCTAAGGGGAACATTGACTCTGGGCCAAGTGCCTGGTGCCGGGTCTTACTCCCTCTATCATTTAAACCCTGTAGGCCTCCGTTTCCTAATCTGTCAAATAGGAATCATGGCAATTCAATTTCTCAGGTTGTTTTTTAAAAATATTAAAGGAATTAAAACATAGCAAGCACTTACATGGTGACAGGGATATGATGAGAGTTCAAGGTGAGGGTAAGATGCCCCAAGGGGAAGGTGGGGGGTAAATGATCTGGCCAAAACGCTTGTGTTGCTTTTTAAATTGACTTTATTGAGCCATAATTTACATACACAAACTTCTCCGATGTTAAGTGCATAATGTGAAGGATTTTGACACATGTATATTTGTGTAACCACCAGCAAAATCTTCATATATAACATTTTCATCACCCCCAGATTCCCCCTAGCTTCTGGTACCCCCTATTTCTTGTCTCTTTCCCTATAGTTTTGCCTTTTCTAGAATATCATCTAAATGGAATCATATATTACATGACCATTTTAACCTGATTTATTTCATTTTGCATAAAGTATTCAAAGATTCATCCATGTTTTACATATAGTAGCTCATTCCTTTTTTTTTTTTTTTGGTCACTAAATAGGATTATATTGGAGGGATTCCCAGCTGATGGCCTTCTGGCCATCAAGCTTCAGCATTTACATTCATACATTTTTTGATCCTTAAATCCTTACTTTATAGATATATTTATTTATGCATTATTTGATCCTTATCCTTGCCCCAGGAGGTAGATGATCATTATCACTATATTATCCCAGAGTTAAGACAAAATGGGCACAAGGAGGTGATGGTATCTGCCAAAGGGTGCCCCAGCCTGAACCTTTTCAGAACTTGGGCTCCTGGAGGTGGTCTGTGGCACTGATTTTTTGGGGGGCACTGATGAAATGTCCTTTCACCTCTCAGGGCCCTTGAAGAGAGAGGAAACATGTCTGCTGCCCGGGCCGGGCATTTCCCAGGAGGAGGACCTGTATTTCTCCGCCGTCAGGGCTCGGCGGAGGCTGAGCTGGACCAGCTCTCCCACGTCTCAGTCCTCCTCCGAGTACCAGTCCTACTCCCAGTACCAGTCCTGCTGCTCCTGCATGTATGACGACGCGGACGCCCAGCAAAGCGTGTGTGCGCTCTACACCCACGTGCAGACGGTGAAGGGTGTGGCAGTGGCTTGGGAGACAGACACAGGCTTCGAACCCGTGAGCAGGAAGCCCCGCATTCACGAAGCTGAGTTCATCAAGAGGCAGAGGAGAAAAGGCTCCTCCTTTGAGATGGCGTCGAACACCGACCTGCACTGGGACTTGGAAGCCAGCAAGAACAACTGCTGCACAGAGCCTGATGATTCGGAGCTGCCTGGGCCCCTGGACTGCTGCCTGCAGGAGTTGCGGGAACACCCGGACTGGCTGGTCACCACCAACTACGGCTTGCGCTGCGTGGCCTGCTGCCGAGTCTTCCCCACGCTGGAGGCGCTGCTGGAGCACGCCCAGTATGGCATCCAGGAGGGCTTCAGCTGCCAGATCTTTTTTGAGGAGATGCTGGAGAGAAAGCGGGCCCGGGACCAAGAGCAACAGCTGGAGGAGGAGGAGGAGGAACACAACCCTTCGGGTAGTAGTGAATGTTCTAAGCCTCACGCCAAGGTGCCTCAGTCACAGCCACAGAAGCAGTGAGCTGGAGGTGATGCGCCCAGCCCCGTCCTCACCTCCTGCACCTCATTGCTCTCTCTCCAACCCCCAGGACCAGAGCCACCTGGCAGGGAGAGAGGACGAGGGCCAGGGAAGGACGCAAGCAGAACGTAGAGCTGGGAGGGCCATGAAAAAGGAAGGGGAGCCACCCTACCAAAGGGCACAGAATTTCACCCAGAGTCCTCTTCAAAACCTGAATCCAAAGAGCTAGGCTTCAAGTATTTCCGACTGCAGAGGCAAGATCTGAAGCTGGTAAGCCTGTGGCCACAGAATTTTTATTTTTGCTCGTGGATCAAGCAGGTCATGATTCACAGGAGAGCCAACTGCAAATGAAGCTTCAACCCTATTTTTTTCATTGTTAGGAATCCATCATATGCCCTACTTCTATCTCTTATTTTGGTGGGATTAAACTTAAATAACTCAAAGTTTGAGGCAATGACTCATTGAGTAAACCATGCTCTTTAGCTCTTGCCATTTCTGTAGGTTACAGACTAGCACAGACACTAGGTCATAGGTAGGTTCCCAGAAGTAGAGAGGGGGCTGGGTGAGTCCTGCTGACCCCTGAGTTCACATATGCTAACTATGCATTGTAAAATGTTGCAATAAAGTTCTTTTTCACCCTCCTATCTACCCCTAGTCTGGGGTACTGCATTCACTGAAGAAAGCACCCTGTGTATTAGGCAAGCTGATGGAGCTCTGATGCCAAACTTCTACTGAAAGGCAGTTAGAACAGGCAGTTACAGGCAAGGGGATAGATCACATGAAAGTGATTTGAGGGGGCTTAGAGGAAGTCCCCTAATCTCATGCTGGTTGATGAAGAGGGAAAACTTTTTGAAAGAGGTGATGCAGACGCTGAGAAGACAGTTCAAATTGACTCTCTACCTTAGTACTTTTGACATTTTAGTCACAATCATTGTTTTGGGTGCTGTTCTATAACACTGTAGGAGATTTAGCAGCATCTCTGATCTCTACCGTCCAGATGCCAGTAGCATCCCCTCCTCCATAATCGTGACAGTCAAAAATGTCTCCATACATTAACAAGTGTCCCCTGTGAACAAAATCATTCCTTGGTTGAGAATCACTTAGCTAGACAAAAATGAGGATCTTAGAAGGGAATGGAACCATATGTTTGGGCAGTCACCAGCCACTTGAGCTGGCTGGAATGTTGGAGACATTTATCCCCTCATAGGATCCAAAAAATTTCAGTACCTGTGTCCAATCACTGTGCTGTGCGTGAACAAAACAGGCATGGATAACATAGATTGACTCTCCCTTTCTATCTCTTTGTCTCTCTGCCTCTGCCTCAGTGTCTGTCTATATATCCAAACATACATATATGTGTATATATACACTCATTCATATATATGTATATATAATTATATATATGCAAAATTCAAAATAATTAGGAAACCTTTGCTAACTCCTCCATTACCATTTCTTAGCATTTGCTGTTTCACTCTAGGCCCCAGTGCTATTGTTTCTTTCTTTCCTTAAATGTGTCATGCTTCCATGCCTCAGAGCATTTGCATTTGTTTTCTAAGAAGAATGTAATTCTCTTCTGTGGCTCTTCTGGCTGAACTTCCCTTTGTTCATCTCTTGAGTTTTCAACTTTGTTGCTTTTTCAAAGGGGACTTCCCCAATCACACTGCCTAGTGTAGGCCTCATTTTAAGTGCAGGTGATTTTAAGAAGAGAAGTAACATGATCAGATTCATGTTTTAAAAATCTCACTCTGGTTGTGTATGGAATTTGGATTTGTACAGGAACAAAAGAAGAAATGACAAAGTAGGGAGGTTATTTCAGATGTCCAGGGAATGGACGACGTGGCTTGGATAAAGCTGGCCACAAGACAAGAGGGGGAGGAGTGGAGGCATTCAAGACATACTTGGGAAATAAATTTAGAAGACAGGGATGGGCAGATGTGGAGGTGGGGGTAGGTGGACCCCCAGGTTCCTAGAAGGAGCAAGTGATAGGTAGTTGCACAGTAACTGATATGAGGGACTTTGGAGAAAGATCAGCTGAGTGCGTGTATATGTGTGCGCACACACAGGCTAACATGTGTGTGTGCACATATGTGTGTGTCTGAGTCTGGATGTGGATGTACAGGGCCTGTGTGCTGGGAGCAGGGTGATAAACTGGCCTTTAGGACAAGGCCAGTTCCAAATGTTAATGGCAGGCACATTCAATGAGAGAGGTCAAGTGGGAAGTGGTTTATGGTTCAGAACTCAGAAGACAAGCCTGGATTGAAAACATAAATGAGCAAACTAATCTTATATAGAAAGTACCCTATTTAAAACCACAATAGTGGGGATGAGATTAACTAGGGAGCTGGAAGGAGAAATGAGGTGGGGATGCACTTCTTAGGAGTTTTAAGTAAAAAAAAGAAAACCATTGTTTTGAGGTAGGATGAGCAGTATCAAATGCGGGAGAATGGGAATGAGCAGAGAATGAAACATCTTTCATTTCCCCGAGCACATGGAGATTGCTGACGGCTGAGGTTGGGACAGCTCACATTGAGGGGGACAGAGACTGGACAGGCATCAGTCAGGAGTGGGCACAAGACAAGCTGCCAAAGACAAAACAACTCTGCTGGCAAAATCATTTCAAAAGGAGGGCCTCCCTGGTGGTGCAGAAGGTTGAGCATAGCGCTGTGAAGGCTGTGAAGCTGTCACATCCTCTTGCAGTGCGTGTTTAATCCCTGCCGGCCAGGGAAAAACCTGCGTGGCATGGCAGACCTCTCCTATCTCTCCTGTTGCTCCCCTCAGCAGTGTATTTCACACAATCTGCCTGTTCTGTTCCTCACTCTGTCTCTGGTGAATCCTCTCACCCTCTTGCACAGTTGGCCTGCACCCTGGTTCTTGTATAAATAAATAAATCTTAAAAAAAAATCATTTAAAAAGGAGAGCAATGATGGCTATTGGTGGACAAGATAATTTAAAAAAAATGATAGAGATGGGAGAGAAACCAATGTGATATGCTAATGGGAATGATCTAGTAGAGAGAGGGAGACTGATAAAGAGAGAAAAAATGGGGAAGTATAAGGAGAGAAGTTAAGAAAATGAGAGAGGGTTGGGTATGTTAAGTGTATTTCATGTGTGTGTGTCAGAAGAAGTCTTTGTGGAGTTCCAGTAAAGGGGAGCAGTAGCTGGAAGGTAGGAGTGGGTCTGAAGGAGAATAGGGTCCCCATCTCCTTCCCTCTAAGGGGAGTAGATTTATGTATGAAAATCTGATATCCTGAGGGCCAAGCATTGCTCTGAACACGTCCCATATGTTATGTAATTCCACAGTCCAATGAAGTGGGTCCTATATTAGCCCTGTTTTGTTAGGGAGTAAATTAAGATCTTGCCAAGGTTGTTCAGTTGGTGTACAGTGGAGTCAGGCTTCACACCCAGGCAGCCTGACTCCAGAGCCTGCGCCCCAAACATCACACCGAGAAGCTGATTTTAACATAAAGACAGATGCAAGGTGTTTAGAAAAGCAAACATGTCAACTCTACAGGCTGCACTTTCTTATGATTAAGTAGCAGTAGCTGGAGAGCAGGGAAAGATGATGGGTGTTCAGGACAAATGAAAGATAACAACCTTGGGTAAGCAAACTTTTAATGTGGAGGATAACTTTAGCTGACATGGATAGGGAAAGGAGGGGATAAAATTGATCTTAAGGTAGTGACTTGTGCTCTAAACATACCTTAAATTTAGCTGCTCTAACTACTTATTTGTAGTTTAAATACATCCCTTTACAGAGATCTGGGACCTCCATGAAATAAAATGAGTACCAAGGTGAGTAAGGGGTAGCTTTCCAGATGGTTCAAGGAATCTTAAACATTTTAGATTGCTTGAAACCACTTATTTTGGAGGGTTGCTTTAAATCCTTTATTTTCGGGGGGGGGTGAGGGGAGGGGAGGGATTGGGGTCAGAATGAGGGGGTTGCAATTGTATGGGGAATATAAAAATAAAGTTTATTATTAAAAAAAAATCCTTTATTTTCTTAAGTGATAGAAAAAGAAAAATTATTTTATGAAACTTACAGAAACCTGATAACAAAACTTGACAAAGATGGCACTAAAAAGTAAACATATGAATCTTATTTGTTTTAGTTAATAGCTAACCAAATTATTTAGTAGAATATGAAAAGAACAAGTCATTACTAAGTTTAGGCCATCTCAAGACTGCAAAGACAGTTAAAATGATTACATTTAGTAATACTTCATACGAAGATCTTGTGATTATCTCAGAACATATTAAAAAGACACTTAATATTCAGAAACAAACCCTACATTTCTTGCCAACTGTTTTTTAAGCAAGGGTGCCAAAATAATTCAATGGGGTTTCTTCTCAGGGTGATGAAACATTTTGGAAGTAGATAGTGGTGGTTACACAATTTTGTGTATACTATAAACCACTAAATTATATGCTTTAAAAGACTAAATTATGTGGTGTACAAAATATATCTAATGAAAAAGATACATAATAAACACAATAATACATTTATAAATTTCTTAGAAACTAAGAACAAATTTTCTTCAGATGATATGGAATATTTATCTCAAAGTAGCAAAAGTTCTGAAATGCTCCCATTTAAATTAGATAATACATGTGCTCCACGACAATTTTTATTTGACATTTCTCTGAAAGTTACAAACTTACTTAATAAGAACTTAATAAGAGATGAAACCAAAATGTTATACATAATAGACAGAAAATTATGCTTTTCCAGAAAAAGATATTACAGCTACCTTGGAAACTCATTGAATTAACTGAAAAATATTGACAGAAGAGTAATCAAAGGGTTAAAATATAAATGGATATCAAGAGCTTTCTTATAACTAATGACTATTTAGGAAATAATAAATATTGCATTCACTAGATAAACATATTCATGGAAATAATACAACTGCAATGAAATGTCAAAGTGATTCTAATTGATAATTTTTTTATATAATGTGCAGTATTTTTGTCTTCTATATTCAGCAAGTATAATTTTTATAATAAAAATGTAATAAAACATTTAATGAAGCATTGCTTCAGGTTAAAAATGACTTTGGGGACCTTCCCCATCCACATTTGTGGTCTACAGACCACACTTTGAGAACTCTAGCTCTTAACATTCTAATCCTTGGTCTGTCTGAATTAAATTAGCTTTGATTTAAGAGTGCTTTATAATGGATGAGGACCCAGCCAACTCAAGATAGTTAAATTACCAAGCTCTTTTTGTGGTGTGTCCTCATTTCTTATAAAGCTTGAAAGATGCAAGTGAGAGGGAGATCTTGAGAACTGTGATGGGAGCTCCTCTGAGTAAAGGTAAAGACAGTGCAGTTGGGAAAGATGCCAAGGTCATGCACTAGGGCTCTGAGGGAGAAGGATGCGTTTCAGAAGACAATGATGAGGAAGTTGGTTAAGGCAGACTGAGGAGAGAGAGAAATGGCAGGAGTTAAGGGCAGTGCATTGACTAGGGAACGTGACATCACGAAGGGGAGACCAGGTAGAAGGTTGTGGAGGCAGAGAAGTGTTTTGTTTCAGATCGCAGAATCCTGACCACCCTTTTCTGGGGAGTCAGCTGTATTTGAGGTCCTGTTATGGGCTGACTCATGTCTTTCCCAAATTCAGATGTTTAAGTCTAACCTCTAGTGCCTCAGGATGTGACTATTGGAGAGAACTTTAAAGAGGAACTAATTTACCTTTTAAGTTGTCAGAAAAGTAGGCTCCTAATCTAGTATTAATGTTCTTATAAAAAGAGGAGGTTAGGGCACAGACACGCACAGAAGGGAGACCATGTGAAGAGGGAGGGAGAAGCCTGTCAATTACAAGCCAAGGAGAAACCAACCCTGTTTATACCTTGATCTCTGACGGCCCTTGGCCTCCAAAACTGTGAGAAATAAATGTATGTATAAGCCACCCAGCCTGTAGTATCTTGTTACTAAGATCCTAGCAAACAATTACAGATTCTGAAGAGCATCTTTGGTTTCTGGTGGGAAGCCTTCCTGGTCCCAGATCCTTAGGAGAGCAAGCTGACAGTAAGTACTCAATGTTTGTTGATTTATGCTGGAAATGGAATAAATACATTTAGCAACCAGTGGCTGACTTTTGGCAGACACAGAATGGACTTCTGGCCCCGAGTACTCGGAGTGCTTTGGACACTGTTAGTGGGTTTTGCAGAAGGAATCTGGTAAGTATGTGTGGTGTGGGGATTGATTGAGAAAACAAGGTATGTTCTCTTCAATTTTCATCCGAACCTCTCATGCTACCCCTCTCAGTCAAACTCACTGGAAGTCTCCAGGGAAATGAGCTGGGTAATGAGGGGTGATGAGGACCTGGGTGTGCTGAGCTGTAGGGAAGAGGAAAGCAGAGGTACATGAAAATGCCATGTCTGGAGTTCAAAGTGTGGCACCAGGAGCCAGATGCTATATGTATACACATACACATACACACACACACACGTGCAGAGTGTGAATGTGCTGTGTACCTGGCTGGAGGCAGAGCTCAAGCACCAGGAGAGAAGGTCCACAAATGAGGTGAGAACCCCCAACGGAGGACTTGTTGAGAATCTCCTGCTGGATTCCTGCAGAACATCCCAGTGCCCACCCAGGAACTGCTGATCAGAGGTATTATCAGTCTTAGGGGAAAGAGTAAGAATTTCCTATAGCAGTGTTTTGCAAACTTGAGTTACTATCCTCTCAAAGGCCAAGAGCAGTCTTAAAGAGCCTGTGTTGACATAAGTTATTACTGTTAAAACGATGACTTAGTCAACACAAACACATACATTCAAGTTTTTATTTGCATTGTAACTATAAAACAAGCTTATAAATTAAATATGAACACAATTATAACAGCAATCAAACTCAGACTAACAAAATTAATTTTATGTGACTGTTGAGCTTGGTGTTTGCAAAACTTACTTGCCTCCTAAGTGAACATGGGACTGAATGTGAGGCAGACTTATCTGGGGCTGTTGGGGTCTCACTGCCACGTGCTGAGATGACACAAATTCCAACTATCGACAGTATGGAGGTGGAAAACCATTGCTCTTGAGGTCACGCTGATTGCCAACCTAAGTCCAAACAAGGGCACCGGTATCAGGAGCCACTGGGTGTTCATAAGTTGCTTATCCAGATAATCCATGTGCATAGAAAATTTTCTATATCTTCCTAAAGTTTTAAGAATTCCAATGGGGAGCTGGAGCTTGAAGAGCCCTAGCTAGGGTTGCTCATGGTACCTCTGTTTGAGAAACACAGCTTAGAAATGATCCAATGGAACATCTTGCATCCATCCTACAGATACTCACCCACCACTTCCCACATGTCCAGGGCCTGGGTGCAGGCAGCAGGAGGGACACAAGGAGAGTCAGTGTCTGGCCTTGAGGAGATACAGCTGGTCGTCTGGGTCCTCAGAAATCTCTCCAGGGACTTGAAAGTCCTGTGTCCTTTAGCTTCTGTGCTTTAACACACAAGCCCCTCACCCACTGCTCTGGGACTTTCTCAGTACCCTTGCAGGTTCAGTTCAAGGGTTACCTTCGCTTCAGATGTTTCCAGCAGGACAGGAAGAGGAAGAGGGTGTAGCCTCCATTGTGGTCAGTGATATAGATAACTTGTCCTGTTGATAACCTCTCTTTGATTCCACTCCCTTCCATTTGGAGCCTTCTAGAATCTGAGGAGCATTTCTTTCAGCATCCAGCCTGCAGACTCCCTGACACCAAGTTCACAATCACTGCCAAGGTTGTGGAATGACCCCAACTTATCAGGGTCACCAGTGAGGGTGATTTGGAGAAGCTATCTCATTCTACATGTGCTCTCAGAGGGACACATTTCCTTACCTTTAGGGGGAAACCAGTGCATTCCACACCCCTCCTCCAGTTTGCAGGGAAAAGATGCTGCAGGTTGCATGGAATCTCCACCATGGTGCTTCAAGGGTTTTCCTGCTGAGTGGATGGATACATCCTCTGTAACCATGATTTCTTATTTCTTATCCCTTCACCCAAGCTGAAACCCCTTTATCTAGAGTCTGTGGTTGGTTCTCACTCTTTCAATGCTAATTCAAGCATGCAAAGAACTACTTGTAGTTGTAAAATACTTGTGAGCCATGGAGAAGGAAATCTTAAAATTATCATATGAAAGTCCAGAGTGAAAAAATAACACATGAATCTGTTAAACACCTTGGGGGATGGTGTACACTCCCCATAACATACTCTCACCTTGGACCCAGGTTTTAGCAAACTGAAAATGAACAAGGAAGCAGAGACCTCCCCTAATCAGCCTGTCATGTGATGGCAGAACACAGTTATTTGGGGGGGAACTTGGACTTCTAAGATTCTTTACCTGAGGATAGGTGAATCCAGGTCAGTTCAGTAGGGCCTCCATATAAGTGTTCACAGGAACCTGCATCAACTTAAATTAGTCTCTAACTCAGAATGCAGTTGTACTTGATAGGACCAACTGATGGACAAATAAGTTGGTGGAGGATGTTCAAATGGTAGGTTTGTGAGTGAGTGGGCAGGCCGCAGGTGAAGGCCTTTGCTATGATAGTCCAGAACAAATGATATACTGAATTTCATCTGGGTCATTGACTGTCTTTCCTGGACTGTGTCTTCAGCAAAGATGGTCTAGTAGATTATTTGGGAAGCTGAAAAGTACTCAGGGAGCAAATAGGTGAAAGCAAAACCACGTTATATATTGGAGAACCACAGGAAAAGCACTTTCTAGCCCCAAATCTCCAGCACAACACTAGTTTTGGCAAAGAGAAAGCAAGGCTGGGGGAGGGAGGATATTTCGGTTCAATGCTGACTTGAAAAAGGAGAGACCAATATTTAGAAAGGATGCGAGGAACTGCTTTCTCCAAGTGTGGCCAGCGTGTGTAAAGGGCCCCTTCTACTGTCCCCCAGCTGCGAGAGTAAACTGCAAGCACACAGGTTGAGGCAGGAGGTCACCAGGACACCAAACAGTCCTGCCCCTTCCTTAGCTCCCTGCCCTTGTGCAACTATGTTGACATGCCCTATGTCAACTTCATCTGCAAAACGAAGTTCAGAGAGGTTACACTTGGCAAGGACCCACAACCGCTAATCAGAGTGGGCCCTGGGTCAGCTTTTAGAACCAGTTTTCCTCCTCTGGCATGAAGCCAAGTTCTCAGTTCACCCTCTATGATCGGGTGCTTCCCTCCACCTCATCCCATTGCAAGGGGATTCAAGGAGATGGCGACCCCAGATCTCATTGCAGTCTTGCGGGTACTCCCTGTGTCCAGTGATCACCTCTCCGAACCCCCCTTTTATTTCATCCGTGCAGTGGGGTGGGGTGGGTGGACCGAGACATCCACAGGTGGCTGGGTGACCGGCCGCGCGGGGGCCCTTCCTTGCCCGGTGCGGCGCTAGGCCCCCAGCCGCCAGGGTCCGGCCGGGGCGCGCCGCCCGGGGGCGGGCCGGGGCCGGGCCAGGCGCGGGGCTGGGGGCGGGCGCGGGCGCGGGGCGGGCTGGCGGAGGCCGGGCGGGCGGAGGCGCTGCTCCCGCGTCACTGCGCCCGGCGGCGGCGGGGAGATGCGGCTCCTGGCGCTGGCGGCGGCCGTGCTGCTGGCGCGGGCTCCGGCCCCGGGTAAGCGCGGCGGGGCCGGGCGGACGCGCGGGGCGGCCCCGGGACCCCGCGGGTGGGGCGAGGGCGGCCCGCGGCAGGGCGGCCGGGATCGGCGCTCGGGCCTGGCCGGGAGGCCCCGCAGACTCCGGGCCGCCCCCTCCCCGTCGCGCCCCGGGGCCGGGCTCCGCGCTGCAGCCGTCGCGGCGGGTTCGCTGAGCGCGGCGGCGCCTCCCCGCGGGTCCGCGGCCGCGGGGCTGGGAGCGCGGGCGGCGCCCCCCGGTCCTGCTCTGCCCCGGCTCCGGCGCGCCCAGGCGTGTCAGCCCAGCCCCCGTGCCCTTCCCCGGACAGGCCTGGGGTGGAAGATGTAGGCAGGACCGCGCAGCCCTGCTTGTTTTTTATTTGCTCTTGTCTCCAACAGTCAGGACGGACAACTGCTGGCAGGGCAGTCCCGGCTGCAACTTCCCTTTAAGTCTCTTTGCAGAGGTCCCCAGAAGACCAGCTCCGAAGTGGCTGGATCTGCCCCCGCTGGCCCTTGCGCACTGGGGACTTGGTCGTGGGCATCCGTGATGACCCGGCCGGGGAAGTGTGGTATCCAGAGCTGGCTGAAGTGGGGCCCTTGGTCATAGCACCCCGCTTTAGGGGCCGCCACTGCGCACGCGACTGACTTTTCCTTTGGACTTCTGCCCTCACTCCTAAGTTGCTGAAGAATTTTCTCTCTTTATTCCCCAGGGCCCTGCCCATATGCCTCTGGGCTGAAAAGGCCGTCCCTGCTAGAATAATAGTAATAATAAATTTATCAATGGCTTCTCACATTTCCTGGATGCAGATTGGGTGCCAGGTGTAGGCTACATGTACCATCTAATCACCAAAACACTTTAAAGTAATAATGACCAGCAAATATTTATATATCCAGGTACTTTGCAAACATTAACTCACTTAAGTTTGCACTTAACTCACTTAATAAACTCTGAGAGAAGTGCTATTATTATCCTTATTTTGTAGATGAGGAAACTGAGGCACAGCTTCATGAATTGCCTCCCTTTATGTCACAAGGCTTCTATGTGATAGAGCTGGGATTTGAACCTAGGAAGCCTCACTTTAGACTCTGCATATTCTTTTTTTTTATTTAAGTTTTATTTTTATATTCCCATGCAATTACAACCCCCTTATTTTGACCACCTTCCCTTCTTTCCCCGCCCCCCATCCCCCATAGAGTGTCTCTGGTTCATAGTTGTTTGTTGATTTTGATATTTTCTTTCTTATAGTTATTCTTTTTCCTGGTCCCTTATTTAAGTTTTCTAGATTCCTGCTATGAGTGAGACCATCTGGTATTTTTCTTTTTCTTTCTGGCTTATTTCACTGAGCATGATCCCTTCCACCTCCATCCATGTTGCTGCAAATTGCATGTGTTCATCTTTTTTGAATGCTGAGTAATATTCCATGGTATATATGTACCACATCTTCTTGATCCAGTTATCTATTTTTGGGCATTTGGGTTGTTTCCAAAGCTTAGCTTTGTAAACAGTGCTGCTATAAACATAGGGGTGCAGGTGTTCTTTGGAATTGATGTTTCTGTGTCCTTTGGGTAAATACCTAGGAGTGGAATTGCTGGATCATATGGAAGTTCTATGTTTGGTAGGTCCAGAAATCTCCACACAGCTCTCCATAGTGGTTGGACCAGTTTGCACTCCCACCAACAGTGCAGAAGAGTAGAAGAGTTCCTTTTTCTCCACACCCTCGCCAACATTTGTTGTTGCCAGTTTTTTTAATATGTGCCATTCTCACTGGTGTGAGATGGTATCTCATGGTAGTTTTGATTTGCATTTCCCTGATTACAAGTGATGTTGAACATTATTTCATATGCCTGTTGGCCATTTGCATTTCCTCTTCAGAGAAGTTTCTTTTTAGCTCTTCTGCCCATTTTTTGACTGGATTATTTTCTTTGTTGTTGTTGAGTCTCATCAGCTCTTTGTAGATTTTTGTGATCAGTCCTTTATCATTAGTGTTGTGTGCAAAAATGTTCTCCCAGTCGGTGGGGTTTCTCTTTGTTTTGGTTATTGTCTCTTTTGCTGTGCAGAAGCTCTTTAATTTGTAGTCCCAGCTGTTTATCTTTGCCTTCACTATTGCTACTTTGGGTGATGTGTCTGTAAAGATGTCTTTGATGTGCATATCATGTAGTGTTTCGCCTATATTTCCTTCTATGTATTTTATGGTTTTAGGTCTTATGTCTAGTTCTTTAATCCATTTTGAGTTGTTTTTTGTGCATGGTGTTAGGTAGTAGTCAAGCTTTATTCTTTTACATGTAGCGACCCAGTTTTCCCAGCACCATTTATTGAACAAATTTTCTTGCTCCAATGCATATTCTTTGCTCCTTTGTCAAAGATTAGTTGACCATAAATCTGTGGGTTTATTTCTGGATTTTCTATTCGATTCCATTGGTCTGTATGTCTGTTCTTGTTCCAATACCATGCAGTTTTGATGATTATGGCTTTGTAGTAGAGTTTGAAGTCTGGGAGTGTGATGCCTCCATTCCCTTCTTTTTTTTTCAGGAGAGCTTTGGTTATTTGGGGTTTTTGGTGATTCCATATAAATTTCATCAATAATTGTTCCATTTCTTTGAAGAATGACATTGAAATTTTTATTGGAAAAGCATTGAATCTGTATATTGCTTTTGGTAGGATGGACATTTTAATAATGTTTATTCTTCCAATCCATGAGCAGGGGATTAGACTTTGCATATTCTGACTAAGCTGTGCAGCCACTGTTTTGTAAATAGGGGAATTGATACTCAGAGTTAAGTAATTTTCCAAGGGTGAGCCAACTACAAGTGGCAGCACAGATGAGAGTCTGAGGGGAGGGACTTGGATTACAAGTCCAAGACTGGGAAGGGGTTCACCCACTGTCCCCTGGCTACCACTGCAGCAGGGTTTCCAGCGAACCTGAAATCTGTACTGTGGGAAATGCTCCTTGCACAGTTGTTACTGTTTTGATTGACAGTGATGGGCGTTTGACTGGGAGTAGTGGCCCAGGCCAGCTTTGGTGCCTCTGTGGAGTAGCCAGCAGCCATCAGGTGCAAGGGAACACATGGGTCTTCGACCCCAGAGTCCATGACCTCCTTATTAATCATAGCTACTGTCAAAAAGGGTTGTCGAGAGAGGTAAATTTTGGAGGGGATGTCAAGATGTCAAGGACATTCTCATGTTTCCAGCAGATCTCCAGAATCTGGAGAGAAGGAATTCAGGAACCTTTAGAACCAACCCTGGCTGTGCCCAAGGCCACCCTGTGCACAGATAGTGATGACAGCTCCTGCTTACAGGGCACACAATATGTGCCACCCACTTTTCTGAGGGTTTCATCCATAACCCCTCCTCATGATTCCCCATGGAGGGTCTGGACAGAATTCCTTTATACATAAATCTGGACTCTTGACCACTGCCTTGTCTCAATTCTCCATTTTGGAGTCAACTGGCTCCACCTCTTATTTTACAGAAAGACAAACTGAGGGGTGAAATATTTACTGAAAGTCAAGCTGTAATCCAGAGTGGTGGTTGAGAGCTATCTTTGAAGCTCAGTCACCTCAGTTTGAATTTTAGCTTTGCCACTTTCTGTGTGAGCTTGATCATGTGGCTTAGTCCCTCTGGGCCTCAGCCTTTCTATCTAAAGTGGGGATGAACACACCATGAAGATAAATTGAGAACATAAATCTAAATTGTTTAGGACAATGGTTGGCATAGAATTTACATCCAGCAAATGGCAGCTTTTATCATAGGTCAAGGCCATGTGTTGGTGCTGGGTGAGAGCTATTTTCAAGTGATGGGCTTTATAAGCCTGCATTACCTTAGAGACTAGGTCTGCCAGCACCTCTGCTTGGTATTCCATAAACACCCCTAGAGCTGTGAGTTTTTAAGTAATACAAGTATTCAATATATTTCACAGATTTATTTGGCACAAATTCAGACTATTCTTTTAAATGAGAATGAGATTTTTGCAGCCAGTTAGTACAGTTCACATCAAGTGCACATTCAGGGCTCCCTGAAATGAATGGTGGCAGTTTCTTCAGGGCACAGAGATACCAATACCTTACTGGTCAGATCAGAAAAGACGGACTCTGGCCGTGCCCACTTTTGCATCCCAGGCTGGGAAAGTGCTTTGTTTTCTATCCTGCATCTGGAAATTTCTCTCCTCTACTTCATGATCAGTAGAGAGGCAGAGAGAAAAAGAGGGAAAGAAAGAGGTACGTACAAGATGAGTAGATTGTATATTGTTTGGCTACATGGATGTGTTTTTTGAGGTCGTTTTCAGAGTTGGGTTGGTTCTTTTCATGACATTATCCAAACAGGCACAAGGGAATTAGACTCCATAAATCTTCAACATAGGACTATAACGTTCACTAACAGGCAAAACCAGCTACTTAATTCGTGGGATCCAGTGCAAGATGAAAAGTGGGCCCTTATTCAAAACCTATCAAAATGGAAAGAGAGCAGCAGCAGAGATGGAACCAAGCAGGGGGCTGTGCAAGCAGGGGGCCCCGTGTGACCGCAGAAGGCACACTCTTGAAGACCACTCAGCTCACAGACTGGCACATGCATCACTTTCTGTTGCCCCACCTGCACAAGTTTTCAGGGCATCAAACTAATGTTGGTATTTTAAAAGTGTTTTCTCTTTGGAGCCTTACACATCAAACAAAGCATCACCTTTCCGCAGTTAGATAAGGAAACTCAGGCTCCCAGGGCCTCATGTGTAATAGAACCAGGTTTCCAGTTTGATTTTCTTGGATGCCAGCACCTGGCTCTCTACCCAAGCCACTGGGAAGACCCCTTGCCCATCCCATGTGGGATACCAGAGTGCCCAAGTTAGGGGCCACGTGCTTGCTGAAGGATTAAGGTTCACTGCAGCAGGAATCCTGTCCTGGGTCATTCTCTTCCCTGTCCATGCCTTTCTTTGATTGGAGTAGAAAGCCCCCTCCTGAGATCCATCTGCACTCACAGGTGGCTGGCTGCCTGGGCCCTGGTGAGGGGTACCTGACTAAAGGACACTGATCTTTCTATTTCCAGTCTATTCTAAGTTCCTCCTGCCTCAGGGTCTTTGCATAATTGGGACCCTTTCCTTCCTTTCCTTGCATAATTGGGTCCCTTCCTCTTGCCCTGAATTTTATTTCATTAACTCTAACTCACCTTCAACTTCAATTTACCTTCATTTCCCCAGGAGCTCTCTCTTCCCTGACCCTGCAGGCTAGACCAAGGTCTTGCCCTGATTTGCTTTTACATCAAGTGCTGGGTTCCTCTTCTCCATAGTATGCAACAATATTTGTTGGCACAGATTAGATTCCTGTGTTGTTTTTTTCTTCCCACAATGGGCTGCCTGTCCCCTGAACCCTCAACTCCATTAGGTTAGGAATGCACCTTCTTCTTTGCACTGTGTCCAGCACATGCTCAGCAAGTATATATTGAGTGATTGGGCAAACAAAGCATAATTTAGGGCATAAACTGAAGGAGCAGGAGAGTGGCAGTACCCTGGTGAGTGTGTGGGGTGGGGAGGGTGTGGTCTACTTCCCACCTCAATTCCCTGCAATGCAGGATCACAAAGTAAAAATGTTTTTTTCAGGCCACAGTGACATCAGCAGTTCTCCTTCCTAGGCCAGAATAGGGAAGAATCTGGTCCCAGTGCTGCTCCCTTATCTTACTTGATGTAATGGCCTCATTTTACCATAATCATTATCTTAAAGGCCCTGTCTCTGAATACAGTCAATTCTTGAGTATTGGGTGTTAGGGCTTCAATATATGCATTTTGGATGGGACACAATTCAGCTCCTAACAAGGGTCTTTGCACTTCAGTGGGAGGAACATTTGTGGGCCATTTGTAAGAGAATGTGGGGCTAAATGAAGGCAGAGGGTACACTCTTGAAGACCACTCAGGGGTGCACTGGTACAGAGAAAAGGGGTGTTCGCCTTGGGACATGGTTCAGTCCATGCCCTTTGTGGTTGCTGCTGACTCTTGGTCTGAGCTACAGAAGTGGAAGGGTTACTGATTTTCCTCCAGAATGGAGTCTGGCCTCCCATGGGGACTGGAGCACTTGGCACATTCTTCTGGTTTCAGTCACTATAAATAATCCCGCCTTCATGTGGCGTTAACAGGAGAAGACTGGGGTGTGGGGTCCTGGCTGCTGCGCTCTCATCCCACCCATATTGTTTCAATTTCCTGTCTTCCCCAACTCTCCTTGACTCCAGTGGGGAGCCCTTGGGGGTGGGGTGAAGCTGGACTTCAATCCTGGAAGCCAGCTGCTGCATCTCTGCTGCTCTTTCTCAGTTGAACCCCTGGTGGTTGTAGGAGTTGGGGCAGCCTGCAGTTCCCTCTGTGTCTGTTCATGAGGGACCTCCCTCCACAGGGGTCTGTAGGGACCTCAGAGAGGCCTGAGCAGTCAGCAAGAAATGCTCTTGGACTGATTTAACATGGTGTGTGTGTGGGCTAGATGTCCACCAGGTCAGGTAGATGCATGGGAACTGGGGGGTAGTTCTTGCTTTTTTTGTCCTGCAGGAGGGACTTATGTGGATAGTGAGGTTGTTACTAGAAAGCAGGGGCCCTCCTCAGGAATCCGGGAGTATCTTCCTGGGCTGACTTTGTCCTTTGTCTCTGTAGACCTAGGGGACCTCATTCTTGTCCACAAGCTGCTTGGAGTCCAGCCGAGCACAAACCTTTTTCTTCTGAATTTACTTCCATTTATTTTCTTAAGGTAACAGAAGACGATGATGGTGCTATAAACTGAATAATCATCCTCCAAATTTCTGCATTCTAATTTCTGGAACCCATTGGGTTACCTTCTATGACAAAAGGCATTTTATAGATATTATTAAAGTAAGGATCTTGGTGTATCCTGGAGATCCTGGTGAGTCTGCCTTCTAAGAGATGAGAAAGATACTTTTAATTCTTGAAAAAAATGAAAGAAAATTGACCCTTATGTCTTATCTCTTAAGGTGTTCAGTTTAGCAAATCAGTATGGAAACCCCATAAAAGGATGAGACTACTGCCTGGACTTTTACAACAAAGAACATGTTTTAATGTGACTCCCTTCCCCTGGGGCCTCACCTGTTGACTTAGCCTCCCCACAGTGAAAGATTCAAATCTTTCTCCGTCTGTTTTTCATCCTCCTTCTAGTGTCCAGAGCTTTTGTTAAGTCTCAGATCAGAGCCCCAGCCCCTTTATGTGAGCAGAAGCTGACATTTGGGGCCTGAAAGCTGTGCTTTGGCAGCACCCTGTAAGGCACCTGCTAGTAGGGGTGGGAGGGCAGGAAACGGTGCTCTTTGCACTTGTGCCCTGGGCAGCGCGAGGCTGAGGATGTGGGACCTGGTGAGAAACATCCCTGCTTGGACAGAGGGAGGCTGTGGGCATCCTGCACAAAGCACCTGCTCTGGGCTCTGCTTGCCAGGAGAAGGCACCAGCTGAGTTCCTGGGCAGCGGGGCCACACTGTGCAATCCAGGATGGCAGCCTCAGGCGAGTCTAGCTAAGAATGAAGGGACAGGAAGTTGTGGGCTGGACATGGAATTCTGAAGCATCTTTCTAGTTGCTGAGAGGTTCCCTCACCCCTCCCTGTTTCTCGGCTTCATTCCTGCTCTTCAACTCTGAGGCCATCCAAGGGAACGAGAACAACGAACTGAGAAGCCCCTGTGGTTCCAGCCCCCTGGACCTAGTTTAGCCCTCTCTGACCAGTGCTGCTAACCTGCCTTGGTTGCTGGGGCAGGGGCAGGCACCTGGAAAGGCAGGTCCAGGTGTCTTGATGGAAAGCCCAGCAGAAGGGCAGCCCTCCTTGCTCCCTGACCCACGGCATTGCCCACTTGTACAGGTGGTGAAGCTGACTGAAGCAGGCCTTGGGAGGCAGGTGGTTGGGATGGGGAATGGGCTTGAAATTTTCAAGAGATTCCAAAGGTCCAAATCATTATGTGAAATCTGATTTTAAATGTCAGCAATTGATTAGAATTAAAGAAATTATCTTATAAATGAGGGCATGGGAGTCCTCCCCAAAGTAGACCTCCTTCTCCTAGGTAGAGAGAAGTTTGTGGCTGTTGGGGATGGCCTTCCTCCCTGGCCATGACATCACTGGGCTCCTGGAGAAAAGGACCACCATGTGTCCACTGGGAGCAGAAGTGCTGTCTTCATTTTCTTCCTTTTTTTTCTCTGCAGAGGTCTGTGGTGCCCTCAATGTCACCGTGTCTCCAGGACCTGTGGTTGACTACCTGGAGGGGGAAAATGCCACTCTTCTCTGCCATGTCTCCCAGAGGAGGCGGAGGGACAGCCTGCTGGCGGTGCGCTGGTTCTTCTCGCGCCCTGACTCCCAGGAGACCTTGATGGTTAAGATGACCAAGCTCCGGGTGATACAGTTCTATGGGAATTACAGCCGCAGTGCCTACCGGCAGAGGCTGCGTCTCTCGGAGGAGAGGCGGGGGGCTCTCTACATGCTCTCCGTTTTGACCCTCCAGCCAGCTGATCAAGGGCATTACTCATGCAAAGTCCAGGAAATCAGCAAGCACAGGAATAAGTGGACAGCCTGGTCCAATGGCTCTTCAGCGACAGAAATGCGAGGTAAGGATGCCTCTCCCCTCTGGGGAGAAGTGTGTGTGTGTGGGCTAGATCAGTGCATGTCCATCCTGTCCTCCAGGCAGTGGCCCCCAGGATGCCTCTGCTGGGCTAGAACACATCTTCCCAGCCTCAAAGGGTCATGGCTGTGTGAGCCAGGCAGTGGGAATGAGGATAGATCTGTACGTGGATGCAGGGAGTGATGTATATTTTAGATGTGGAAGCAGATGAGAAAGGAGCAATGCCCCATGTTAGCCCTCCCACCCCCAGGGAAACCTCCTTCCAGGCTGAAAGATTGGCCTGGCTCTGTGCTTTGCCTCCAGCCCAGGTCTGCACATCCTAGATTGCTTTGCTAGGGCACCCATGGGAAGAGGCATGCACTGGGAGGGTCTGAAGTTTCCAGGTCCCAGGGCAGGCAGGCTCGTTGCTGTGATCCATCACCCAGGGGAACCGATCCAAGCTCACTGAGAAATTCATGTAAAGGTGGAAAAAGGGCCGAGGTAGCCTTCCCTTCCTAGAGGCAGGAGGGTGGGGGCTGTGTTCTGGAACATCATAGCTACTGAGTACTATAGTTGAAGGTTATATTTTATCACAGATGTTTATTCAAGAAGACTCTGCTCAGGTTTAATAAGACTTGCTATTGTGCTCTAAAATTATATCTTTGAGTGCTTTGAACTTGAATTTGGTCTCACGTAAGATCAGGAGAATCACAAAATAAAATCGATGATCCCAAGTATGAAAAAGAAGATAATTTTATTCTATACATGTAATAGAATGTTAAGAGCATTAGTGATGTTGTTTTGTTAAGCTCTTTGGAAGGGATAGACTTCAGTTGTGTAAAGGTATTTTTAATATCCTATATGAGTCAGGGACTTGTTAAAATAAATAATTTATGTGGATAGACTTTCAATAGTCTGACTTTGTCTTTGGAGCTTGCTTACTGTAATGTTCTTAAGCACAGAATGATGTATTATCTGAAATGTTGTGTGCTTTTTCTACTTAGGCAAATTAATTCAAGAAAACAAATGACTATTAGTATAAATATGTATTTTGGCATAGAAAACAGAAAAATCAGATGACCAAAGGCTGAAAGGGGATCTACTCTGAATATCATTTGGCTCTAAAACTTAAGGTCTTATAGATGCCCTTTTTATTTTTATGTCACGGTGTATTCTGGACGTGCACCTTCACTCTATTGGCAGGAACTGTTCTCTGCCAGTTAGAATAGACAGTTTCCCCACGTCTAAGGGAGTGCAGTCATTTTGTTTATTAGCTAATGCAAATCTACTTTCAGTGTGAAACTGGTTCCTTCTGGAATGTTTGAGTACTTGCTCCAAAAACCTGAGTAGTTCTTAACACTTCACTGGAAATAAAAACCGCCTTCTTCTCCTTCCCTCCTCTCCCCCATTCCCTCTTTCTTTCCTTCCTTTTTTTTTTTTTTTTTTAAAGATTTATTTATTTATTTACACAAGCACTGGGTACAGTCAGAAGCACGGGAGGGTGAGAGAATTCACCAGAGCCAGAGCGGGGAGCAGAGCAGGCAGAAGGACCGAAGTACACTGCTGAGGGGAGCAGCGGGCGCAGCAGGAGAGGACTGCATGCCTTGTGGGACCCTCGCTGGCAGCCGGGGATCGAATCGGTGCTGCAGAGGCTGCAGGCAGCTCCGCAGCCCAGTGCTCAACTGCTGTGCCACCAGGGGAGGCCCTCCCCCATTCCCTCTTTCACTCAGAAACCCCTTTCTTTTCTTCCCCTTCCATGCCAGGGCCCTACAGTTTCTGTTTCTTCCCCTCCTCCTCTCTTCTTTCTACTCATTGTTTCATTATTATTATTTTGGCTGTATTCATTGTATGCAATTTATTCAAGTGACACTGGTTTACACACTATATATAATTCAGATGTGAAGGGTCACACTTCTTTAGATTTTGTGTTCCATACTACACCCACCACCAAGGCACCCATAGTCATTCACTGCCTCTTCCCTTCTTTCTCCTCTGTCTTTTTGTCTCTGTCTGGTGTTCACTCTCACACATATCGCCCTGATATCTCACTTAGAAGTGGTTCTAACCTCACAGCAGAACTAAGCTTATCCTGCTCCTCACACTCCCTCAGCCTCTTGGGAGGGCCATGGTTTTCTGATTGGAAGATTTAAAACTGTAGGAAGCTTTCTATGACCATGCTTTCTAGAACCTTCTACCTAGGCTACTAAGGAATACGCTGAGGGGGTTAAGGAAGGGTAGCCCCAAGTAAGTAATCTGAAAGCAGACTGACTTGTTTAGGTTGGAGTGTGTCCGTCCCAGACTGGGGAAATGTGTCCAGGCTTGACTGGCTGAACTTCCTGGCCAAGGTGGGGGATGGACTGGGCTCCAGCTTCTGGGCACCTTTCCCTGGCCTTTTGCTTTGTTCATTTCCAGGGACCTTGTTTTCCTAAATCTCTACCTCATGTGAATAGTTGTTATATGGAAAGCAAGAACACAAACAGCACAATGAAAAGTTCTGTGAGTTAATGTGTGTGGCTTGGAATATTAAATAGAAACTTCCAGAGATGTTTTTGGAGTGAGTCTTCCCCTGACCCCCTCTAGGACCCATAGTCCCTCTTTTCTAATAACTCACTTTGCTTTCGTTCCTATAGGCTGCTATAGCCATCCACGGGAGAGGACGCTTTCCTTGGAAATACATCTTAACGCTACTCCCCACCCCCTGCCCTTGACTATGGACTATCATGTGCTCTTTCTTGCAGTATTCTTAGTATGAAATAAAATTGCTTGTCTTTTGCTGTAAATTCCCAGAAGGAAAGGCTGAAGCATGGTGTCCTTATCTCACTGTTACAAATGGAAGTTGACTTGGGCTGATCCACTTAACGAATGGTTTCTGGCACAGAGCAAATGTCCTAGGAGCTTTGGTTCTGATGTCCACATGTTGGTTGTTTTTTATTGTAAAATAATATAGTTCAATTAGAGAAGGCATGAACAAATGCTGAAAGCGTTTAAAGAAGAAAATATAAATGATTTACATTATCTCCACCCAGGCATAACTTAATATTTCAATGTAAATCCTTCTAGTCATCTTTATGCAAATAAAAATTAAAATGCTAATTTCAGTCATACCATAAATACTGTGTTGTGGCTGACTTTTCTCACATTACTTAGTACTGTGTATATTTGCCTTTATTGCTAAATATGCTTCCATAACAGAACTGTGATGGTGGGATGATTGTGTCATTCCATGATACAGATGTACCACAATTTAACTTCCTAGTTAATATAATTGGACATTTAAGGTGTTCTCAATCCCTTGTCAATAAATTCCTACAGGTCCCTGTCTTTAGAATAAAGTTCTCAAATAAAACTGCCTTGTCCATAGGTATACTCAATTTAAAATATGTAATTGAAAGAGGTGAATTAACCTCTAAAGTAGCTAATCAATTTTTAGTCCCATCAGCACTGAAAATGTCTCCCCCCCTCCATGCATTGGTGTACATAATATGTACTTTTTTGAGGGTGGTGATGGTGAGGATGGTGATTAAGAATGATTGGACTAATACCTGGTTCACTGTTGCCCCTCAACAAATAATGAATGAAATACTCTTGGATGGCACCTCTTACTGTGAATGCTTCAAGGTAGGCATGACTTGGTGGATAATACCACCTTCTTTGGGAGACCTCACCCCTCTTCCTGTGGCCTATGCCAAGTGTACATCTTATTTGGGGTCTCTTATCTACCCTTCCTGTTCTAGCAGCCTTCTTTACTTGCCAGCCATGGAGAAATCTCTCACGATAGGGTCTTGTAGCTTCTGTTAATGCTCTTAGCACAACATTTTGTAGCTTTTTTTGTAACCTGCTGTGACAGACATGATGTAAAAAAAAATATGTAAAAGAGTCTAATGATATAAAAACCAAAAGTGTGAAAGTCTGTCTTTTCCCTGTTACACCCTAATGTCCTCAGCTTTGCTGTATGCCCAAAGGTAATCGTTGTCAGTGATTTGATTTCGCTCTTTCAAGCCCTTTCCATTGGCATTCATGCACACCCACACACAGAATTTTAACAATCTTATACTTAATGCTTCATAAGTATTGTGGATAATATGTTTTTTTTTTTTGTAATTGCTTTTACATAACAAGATAATACTCACTGTGTCCTATTGTTCCCCAGGTGATGAGCACTTAGAAAACTTCTAATTTTTCATTAACACAGCCAGTGCTTCATTGTATACATTTCAGTGAGCATGATTGTATACATTTCTAAGTGTTACTGTTGGTTAGATTCCTGGAAAGAGAATAGCCTTGCTGGGCCTAAGGCTATGCACATTAAATTTTTAATAGGCAATGCCAAAATGCTCTCCAAAAAAACTTTTCACATTTGTACTCTGACCATGATTGCATGATAGTGTCTATTTCCCTGAAGCCTCATTAACAATCAATATTATTAATCTTTTTCATTATTTATTACAATGATGGGAAAATAATATTTCATGGTTTTAATTTCTGTTATATTCAGTACTATGTAATTTAATTTCAATTATTTAATTCATTTATTAATGAGATTGAACATCTCTTCATATGTTTATTGGCTATTTAAAAATATTTTTCTGTGAGTTGCCTGTCTATGATATTTGCCTACTTTTCAACTAGTTGCTATCCTTTTCATATTTTTATAGATACACACACACATACCCACATACATATATACACATGTACATATATACACATGCATGTATATATATATATTTCTGATCATTAATCTCTAGCAAAGGTACAAAATTTTTTTTCTTGTTTGTTTCCTATCTTTCAACTTTGTTTTCTTTTACCACATCTTACCTTTTCAGTATATTTATATAGTCAAATTTACCATTTTTTCCCTTTATGGTATTCCTTTCTTTAGTAGTATTTTTTCTTGAGATGTAATTTATATTCAATTATACATTACCTTGATTTTGTGCCTTATCATGGAAACTGTTTCCCACCCAAGCTTATAAAAGTTGACTTCAATATTTTTCATTAATACTTTTC